TGTTAATAAATTTTGTGCTTATTTACATTTGAAACTGTTTACGTTTACACACACCGTTTTCTTTTTTCTAATCTCGCCATCTTTCCCCCCCTTTTCTCTCTCATACATATACTCACAAACTGACACACAGATACTGATACACATGTATATTGTTTTTATGTGCCTTTATGCGTACGCCTTGAGCGCAGGTCACCCTGAAATATATATTGGTGCGTTTCTGCAAAGATTAATTATCAACAGTAGAAAAACCATGCAACTGCACCTAAACAGATGTTATAAAATCTGTGTAAAATATTAAAGAGCATCGTCAAATATATACACAAAACCAAGAAAACTTCTTTAGGTACAGTCACTATAAAATTTAATAATACTAGAAAAAATTTGCTCTTACCACCACAAGCCAAAATACGTCTCAACATCTTACCACTTATATATATATATATATATATATATATATATATTAAAGACATTTTTATGTTTAACGTTCTTTTTATAGATACAAGTATTTAAGTAAATGCTCTGTTTATAATAAACAGTATTAAATAACATTTACCGGCCTGAATGTCCGAGAAATTTTCATAGAAAATATTCGTTCTTTGACAGGATTCGAATCTGCATCCTATACGGAACAGTCATTTACGCTGACGTGCTTTACCGATCGGTCACAAAGAAGCGTTCGGTAGACAAGGTCGAATTTACTGCTTATAAACTTCAATCTTCCATGAATCTCGTACATTCATAACTGCTCTGGCGTATCAAATGTAAACGAATGACGTCATATATTAAGAAATGGACAAAGTCCGACAATTTATTTATTAAAGACATTTTTATGTTTAACGTTCTTTTTATAGATACAAGTATTTAAGCAAATGCTCTGTTTATAATAAACAGTATTAAATGACATTTATCGGCCTGAATGTCCGAGAAATTTTTATAGAAAATATTCGTTCTTTGACAGGATTCGAACCTGCATCCTATATACATATAAAAGAAATATGTTGTAGTGGTTCTAACGAGAGAAAAGTATGTATATTAAAAAGAAGAGAAGAGAGGTGCCGCAAACGTTTTTGGTTGTAATGGGGATTTATTTAGAAAAAAATATTATGCTTTGTTTTACATATGTAAAAATATTATGCTTTGTTTTACATATGTAAAAATATTATGCTTTGCTTGGGGTGAAATGCTTAAAAAAAAATCATCGAGTCTAGAGAAACTTATAAATATATAAGATCGATTCTGTCGAGAAGAATTGTCTAGCCCAACCCAGTGAAGCAACTTTCCTAACAGCAATTAATATAATTTAGTATAATCTTTCCTACTGACTTCTAGATATAGCCGAGGACAGCCTGATCGACGGATTGCTGTGTGATTTCTCGACCTCGAACTGCTGTAACCTTATTGATTGAACAGTGAGAAATAATAAACAATTAACAGCGCAAAAAGCCGCACAGTCAACTCGTAGGTTTCCACTGTTGACACTGTTCGGCAAGTCTATGAATATAGAATAAAGCGCAGTACGTAATCTATTCAATGAAACAACGTTAAAGATTAACACTCACCAGCAGCGGTTCCGTAATTCTTCAGTCTTCGATATCAGAAGTTGGCAGTGAATATTCGGAAAAAAAACATGGCCGCCTTTATACACGTCGCATTGAATATTCTGAGCCTTCTGATTGGTTAACTCTTCTATTGGTGAACTATAAAATGAGTCAGCTCTTTTTGGCTGGCTCACTAGTACCGCGGTACCCAAAAATTCCAACATCCACTTGATACTGTTTTCGGTTGAAATTCAAACAATTTAGAAACCCACTTGATTAACAACTTCTGTCTACCCAACAACCTATGAATTATAAACCTAATGTGTCCCTCTGTGTATCATCTATAGCAGGGGTTCTTAACCGGGGGTATCCATACCCCTTGGGGGTATGAGAACCAAATGCTGGGGGTATGGGAATCGATTACTGGGTACTGGTAGTTCGCCTGGGATATTTGACTGACATTTTCAGTCTTCTTAATGATTTGAACAGATCAACGCAGGGAAGGGATGTTGACATCATTCAAGCCAGGGGAAAAGTTGTCGAATTCACAAGGAAATTACCTATCTGGGGTCGCTGTGTTGAAAGCGGGAACCTGGCAAACTTTCCAATCCTTTACAATATCCTTATTGGAGATGTTAAAATACTACCTGTAGAAATAATTCAAGAAGTCAAGATTCATTTGGAAGTTCTAAGTACTAATTTTGAGGGTTACTTTTCAGATATTGATGATCTTAGCATGGATTCGATTTGGATACAAAACCCTTTCTCATTTGATATATCGAGAATGAGTGATAACGATTTATCAAAGGATGATTTCATTGAATTCCATGAGGACCCAAGAAAGAAAGCTGATTTCGAAAGGGCTGGGATGGATGTCAAGCAGTTTTGGTGTGAACAAATCTCTGGTTACCCAAGTTTGGCAATTAGGGCAATGGATGTTTTGGTTTCTTTCACAACTACGTATCTCTGCGAAACAGGATTCTCTGCATTATTAAATCTGAAATCAAAATGGAGAAATCGACTTGATGTGTCAGATGACATGCGAGTAGCTTTGTCAGTAACTGTACCTCGATTCCATGCTTTGATTGCACAAAAAACAACAGCAAATATCTCACTAGATTAGTAAAAGTCTGTTTTATTGTAGTCGAGATACTAAAAAACCTTGTACATTTTGGTTCTCTTCCTTTTTCTTGTGTAATAAAACTGAATTATAACTTTATTTTGCTTTCAGTAAAAAATCTAATAAAGTTATCAATGCTTATGGTGTTTTTTATGTTCTATTCCTAGCAGTCCATATAAATTCAAGCGATTGAAATATTTGGAAGACTTACTGGCAAATAATAGGATTGGTGATAATTATTTCGACAGTCAAGTGAAGTGGGTATGGGACCATATTGGACAATCCATTGGGGGTCTGGAATCATCAAAAGGTTAAAAACCCCTGGTCTATAGTATCTAAGCAAATCTTATGGCACTGATTCGTCCGTCAAAAATTTGACCATGAATATTTTATTTATTTATTTATTTATTATTTTTAAGCCAACAGTCATTTTTGAGCAAATTGGGCAAATAAACGGGAGGCAATCAATAACGCAAGGACCACAAGCAACATTTAGAAATAAAATAATAAGTGAAATTTTGAATTAAAAAAAAGCTTTTAAGACACTAGAAGAGGAATATTGTACGCAATCTGCCAATATAAGCAAAATGTATTTTGAAGAAGTTTTGGCATCGACTTCCGAAAGGGAATGAGTGTTCCATTCATTCCCTCTCCGCTGTGAAAAAGAATATTTGTGTATGTTCAGAAGATAGTGCAGTGGCTGAAGTTTTAATGGATGACCTCTGAAGGCTTTTAGCAAAATGTTTCACGAGAGATATGTCATCAATCGAATTTACTAAAATGCGTGTATTAAACCAAGTCTAAGAGGTTCATTCGCAAGTGAGAAGAGGTCACGACTTGTAAGTCTATCGGGGTAAGGTGCGTTTTTAATATCAGGAATCATTTTGGTAAAGTGTTTTTAGTACTTTTTCTAGCTATTGCATATCACGCTGAGTATAAGGCGACCACACAAGCAGCATAGACTAAAACAGGATCAACAATTTCAGGAAATGGCATCGTTGGGAGCCTCCTCCACAAACTGATGCAGCGATGGACTAAAATTCTCTAGACGGGAAGTTGACAATCCCCTTCTTAACAGTTTTATATGACTATTTATCCAGTGCTTGCATCATGTACACTATAAATATATTCAGAGTTTTTCTTTTCCAGGAATAGGAACTTACTGACGATTTGGTATTCAAGGGCCAATGTTTATCCTCCTTATCCTCATAATCTTGACTTTCTAGCACTTTCTGTTTCATTAATATCAAGCATCCCATTCACTATGACTATTTTAACCTTCTACCTTTAGTGTCTCTCGAATCATGTATTGAGTTGGTTTCTGGTATATGAAATGTCTCAAAAAAACCGTAGGATGTGACGACACTATGATCCTGATTTGAAACTAAACTCGATGAATTACTTCATTATATATATATATATATATATATATATATATATATATATATATATATATATTCCATGATTAAGCCGTATATATTTAATTCAATTTGTAATTGTGTTACAGTTCGACAATGAGCGATCTAATCATATATATATATATATATATATATATATATATATATGTGTGTGTGTGTGTGTGTGTGTGTGTGATACAGGGTGAATCTGAATGCGGACATTGAATTAACTTTCAGTACCCGGATGTTAGTGATGTAACCATTTTATTATCAATAATGAAAATCGTTCCCAAAAAATCTTGGCCGGATACCTGAAAATCCCAAGTCAAATTGGATATGTCCGTTTCTGGTTGAAATTCAAACAATTTGCCAGCAGTCCGGCTAACAACTACACGTGAACTATGAAGCAAATATGTCCCGTTTATCTAGAGGGTCTCAATAATTATCACGGCTGTGATTAGTCGATCAACCAAAATTAGGTGATGGGTATTTTATTTATTATTATCATTAAGGCAGTAGTCATTAGGCCAAAATGGACAAAACAACCGGGAGGTGAATGAAGAAAGAACACCGACGACAATCAAGAAGCAGGAATAATCGAAAGATTGAATTAGTGTTTAAGGCAGTGCAAGGGACATATTGTACACAAGTACAGTTACACGACAGGCAGGAATCGACCATATTACCTCCGTGTTCTAAATGTGTGAGGAAAGTTCCACTCAGTCAGCTTTTTTCCAAGATCTCCCACTTTGTGGAACAGCCACCCATGTAGGTGCTTCACTGAACACATTAAACCAAATATCTTCATCTCAATGGCCAGCCATTTATACTCACTTCCTACCACCTCCTCTTTCATTCGTATCACGCACCGCATTCATCATTTTAAGAGCAACCCTCTGCCTCGAGTGGCTCTCGAGCCCTGTACTGGGAGAATTCTTGCATATATTAAAGGAATCTCAAAGGATTGCACCCATGTCCTTTCGTGCTGGCTTTTGTACCCCGATTTTCTTCGACCGAGAGAGAAGGAGGGAGAGAGAGAAATGGAACGAGAAAGTGAGAGAGAGGGAGGGAGGGAGGGAGATAGAAATGGAACGAGAGAGAGAGGGGTGGAGGGGCGAGGGAGAGGGATAGACAGAGAAGGAGAGTGAGGATAAGAGAGAAGGAGAGGGAGAGAGAGAGAGAAAGAGAGAGAGAGAGAGAGAACCCAAGTGTGGTCACTGACTGAACTTTATTCCCTGGATGCAGCCATGTTTTAGCAACAATGACAATTCCCTCCAAAACAACACTAGATTTCTACAAATTGACGCAGCAACAAATTGAATTTGTCTACATCATATAATTTCTTGTCGAAATCAAAATATTCTGGCTGAGAACTTCTGTATATACTCATATATACATATATACATATTCTATGAAAATTTCTCGGACATTCAGGCTGGTAAATGTTGTTTAATACTGTTTATTATAAACAGAGCATTTACTTAAATATTTGTATCTATAAAAAGAATGTATAAACATAAAAATGTCTTAAAATAATTGTCGGACTTTGTCCATTTCATAATGTGCGACGTCATTTGTTTACATTTAAATACGCCATGAGCAGATATGAATGTACGTAAGAGAATCATGGAAGATTGTAGTTTAAAGACAGTAAAATCGACCTTGCCAACCGAACGCTCCTCTTTGGCCCAATTGGTTAAAGGCACGTCAGGTTATATGACAGTTCCGTATAGGATACAGGTTCGCTTCCTGTCGAAGGACGAATATATTCTCGGACATTCAGTTCAGTAAATGTCGTTAATACTGTTTATTATAAACAAAGAATTTACTTAAATATTTGTATCTATAAAAAGAATGTATAAACATAAAAATGTCTTAAAATACTCATATATACATATTCTGGCTGAGAGCTTCTGTATATACTCATTAACTATAAACTCAACTTGTTCCTATAAAAAATAAAATTTTACTGCATGATATAAACTTGCTTGAAATTGTTAGGCTATATGTAACGTTTTATATATTAATCGGTTGTTAGATATGACTACACTATATAATAAATACGAATGTCAGTGTGACACTGTCACACGTTTTCAAATTTGCTTCTAGAGGCCGTAGCCCAACACATCATGCCATTTTGGAATCAGGCCGACTCTCTATCCGAACCTCCAATTTTTTATTACTGCAATTGTTTTCGGCGATTTTTTCCGTGATTTTTTGCCACAATTTTTTTTTATAACTTGGAAATAAATTTGGGAATAATCGAAATTAACTGCGAAATCCAGCGAAAGCCACCCATGAAATAAAAATAATTGTTTGTACCGAAAGTAAGGACCTACGTACATCAAATTGTATTTAAATTAAGTGGCAGCAGAAGAATTATCGTTGGACTTTTAAAAGGTAAGCTTAAATATTAATGCAATACTTAAATCCAGCAATGAATTTTGAGTTATTCTGTAGTTTATTGTTGCCTTGATAATCCAGGGAAAAAACAATTTTCCCTGGACAAAATGATCATCCGCATGAGGTAAATCATTTGGATCTCATTAATTGTAATTCACTTATATGCTCTATAATAAAAATTATATTGAGCTCTTTTTTGTGGATCATTTTTAATATCTTATATTAATAGGATCTACTTGGATTACTTAACCACGGATATTTTTACTTATATATATATATATATATATATATATATAATACTTATTACTATATAAGTTATATGTAGCGCATGCGCATGTTTGAGTAGTCCTCTCTGTTTTCTTTTTTGTCTACCGGCCTTGTTTTCAGGGAGCATTTAATATCCTTAGTATCCGCTAAATAAAAGATTTATAGTCTGTCATAATAGGAAATATTGTCGGACTATAAATATAAATCAACTATTATCTTAGTAAATCGTTATATATACGAAAAATATGGGTTCTCCGCAGGATTCGAACCTCTGGCTGGAGGGAAATTATTGTTAGATTAATAAACAAACGGTGCGTCTACTACAGTATGGCCATCCAGTAAAATAACATTTAAAGCAATAATATATATATATATATATATATATATCTATATATATATATATATATATATATATATATACCCAAGTATATGATTGTTGTATACAGAATAATTTCCAATAACCAACAATTACTATTCTTAAAAGAGTGCCCAATACAGTGTAGAGCAAATATAATTATTTATTTAAAAATTACAACATAAATATGTTATATAATCACTACAGAAATAGTCATTTTTTTTCAAGACCTCTGGTGTTTTTTCTACATTCAATATCATCACTTGATAAGACACCAGAAGTGTTGAAGCAAAATGACTATTTTTGTAGTGATTTTATAACCTATTAATGTTATAATTTTAAATGAATAATATATATATATATATATATATATATATATATATATATATATATATATATATATAATATATATATATATATGTGCAAGTATTCAAAAAAATAGGCAGGAACACGTCAGGTAAATAATCCGGGGTTCCTTAGTATTTTTGTTTTTATTTTTAAGAAGACAGTGCTCCATACATAAGTAGAGCTTATATTATAATATTTTTAAAAAAATATGATTCTATTGTTACATAAGAGTTCTCATGTTTCAAAAAAACGAGAGTCGAAACCATCAATATAATTATTAAAATTAATTCAACTTAATTTTAATAATTATATTGATGGTTTCGGCTCTCGTTTTTGAAACATGAGAACTCTTATGTGGCGAAGGAATCATATTTTAAAAAAATATTATATATATATATATATATATATATATTAGTTATGATTACTTAGATGCAGAGAGAGAAAGAAAGAGATGGGTGGAAGAGAGACATGGAGAGAGAGAAACTGGCAATTAAGTGTGACATTCTTAACAGTTGCGAAGACGAAACGAAAAACTTTTGAAAAAATGTTTCACTCATATCCATTGTTGACGGTTAGGAGGAAAGTGAGCCCAAATGTAAACGAATCAGAGACATACGGGAAGTCGAAAACACACACAGAGCGCTTGCACACACAGACAAGCCATTTTCAGACTTTATAATAACACGACATATGTTTAAGAAGTTGTTACAAGAACAATTATTCCCAGAACTCGAGCATCCATCCGTAGACATGCGGGCTGCTGTCGAGGGCGAAAATCAGTGTAACGCCACTTTGCCGACATTATCAAACAGGCAGATAGCTTTTGGTAAAGAGGTTCCCCATTAATTACCCTTCATTCATGCCATTCGTCTGTGCATTAACTACTGTTGTCAGATCTTGTCTGGTAACTTCTGGTATTTAGAGATTTTAGAGAAAATACAAAGAAGAATCTGCAATTTTATTGGTCCTGACCTGGCATCTTGGTCACGGTCCAACTACCGTAACCTTGCCTCCCTGTACTTTTTCTCGAAATATTTTCACTGTATTGGTTATGATGTGTGTTCCTCTATGCTACCTAGACTTTATGAATTTAAACGCAGTACTATATTGGGGTTATAAGATCTCATCATTTTACAGTTGAAATGGCTATATGTAACCGTAAGTTCTATGCTAACAGTTTCTTCTCTCGCGCTTCTCACTTGTGGGTCTCTTTTCCATCTTCTTGCTTCCCAGCCAACTTTCATCTTCAAAAATTTGAACATAATGTCAATCGTCATCATCTGTCTCAATGAACCCGTTTAGACATCCTGAACATACACCCTTGTGGAAATTAATTGAAACAACTGCTTTGTTTTCCTTCCTTTCAACATACCGTCAGTTTTAGACCCACTGGAGTGACAGAGTGTAATCAATTTCCATTTTTTTCCTCAGATTAGGTCATTTGTGGTGTACAGTAATATGAATCTGTTTTCGGGGTGTATGATGAAATTTGTTTGGCCTTGAAAAATATTGCGCCATCAGTGACTGCATCAGATTTTTATCACGCCCAGACATTATTGTCTCGACTGTCGATTAGTTGTCCTACAGCCGTTGTCTGTGATGGACGTTACTCCAAGGAAGCGTATGAAACCTGTAACGCTGCACGAGATCACACTGGCAAGCCTTACCAGCGAGCAAATCAAAGTACTATAGAAATTCCCCTGATTTAAATCCAATCGAGAATCTGTGGTCAGTCTGCAAAGAGCGACATCATGGGATAGATATACGAAGTACTAACATGTGCATTGGGTCGTGTTTCATTGGAAAAAATACGAAAAAATGATAACGAAATTATTCATTTTGTTTCAGTTAATTTGCACAGATTAATAATAAAACCGCCCATTTTGGCAGATGTAAGTTTGTCTCCGAAAGAAGATGTGCGTGCGTGCGTGCGTGCGTGCGTGCGTGCGTGTGTGTGTGTGTTTGTGTGTGTGTGTGCATCTTTTAATGGACACTGAATACCATTCACGTTATCATCACGGATTATATTACATATTATGTATTGTCCACTTTTTTTCAATACAAGGCTCTAAAGCCACTTAAAGTTGAAGGTTATTGAATGAGATGTGTGATATGTTGACAACAAAGCTGAAAGAAATGATTCTTCAAACTTTTCAATGATGAATGAGAAATATTATTCAAAGAATAAGTCTGAAATTTGGTTTTCTGAACAAACTGAAAGGGCGCAAGGAAGAATCGCATCCTACAAAGGTTTCTATTAAAAGCCTGGACCTTCACGTTTTGCAAGATCTATGAGATTCAACTCTTTCATCATTTATATTGGACATAAAGCTAAATCGGGAAATAACCCCAAAATAGACAAGTGCTGAAGCAATGTGGGTATCGTAGCCATTGATAAAACTATAAACTCTAGTGAGCAATAAATTGCCCTGTGACCATCCAACGCAAGAAAGAAAAGAAGATGCACCTAGCCAGGTCCTAAAATGGATAGAAAAACGCCAGCTGTCTGCCATATTTGACAAAAACATGTCCGTCAAAGCTATTCGAAAGTATTCTGTGCAAAATGCAGCGATGAATTGTAATTAAAAAAAGTAATTTGAATTAAGTTTATAATTTCAAATTAAATGCAAAGTTGTATTGTAATTTTTCTGTTTCAGTCAATAAATTTTGACTAAAATTTTTATTTCTTTGTCTATCTAGAATTATACATATTTAATATCCTACTGACTTCTAGACCTTGAATTTCTATAGCTGACGACAGCCTGATGGCAGGATTGCTGTATGATTTCTCGACCTCGGACTGATGTAATTACAAAAAAGTAATTTGAATTAAGTTTATAATTTCAAATTAAATGCAAAGTTGTATTGTAATTTTCCTGTTTCAGTGAATAGATTTTGACTAAAATTTTTATTTCTTTGTCCATCTAGAATTATACATACTTAATATCATCAAAAAAATGCAAAAAAAAAAAAAACTGAATAGTTAAAAAAAAATAGAAATGGGTCCATTGGACCCAGGTGCTATTTAATGGAATTCAGTTTTCTTGGTAGAACGGAAGATTTCTTAATGATGAAAAAGAAAATAACTGATCGTTTGAGGAAGATTTTTTCCGAAATGATGGACTTATCCGCTAGACAAGAAATCTGCTCCCAGTCTCGCTGAGAAACATGGAACCATCTTAAAGAACCGCATTGAAAATGTTTTGTTCGACATTCCCAAAGATAGAAGCTTCTTTAACAATATCTCACTGGCGAAGTTTAAGAAATTAAAAAACCGAACAACTAAGTTACATTATTGGGACTATTGTCCTCATCTTTGTCGCCATATTTATTACAACGTTTCGGCCGATGTACGCTCCGGCCTTCTTCAGGTGGTTGGAATGTCGAACTGAACTCTTTTTTTCGCTCACTGGGTTAGACTGTTCTAGTTCCACGTGCCATGTTTGTTTGTTTTTTTTTTTTTTTTTTTTTTAATGGATGTTAGTTATCAGTTATCTCTTGTTAATTACCCTCTGCAAGTTCTTCACTGCCTTAGCCAGGTATTGAACTCACACTGCTTGGGTCCTGTCACTGGATCTAACGCAACGACTTTATCCACTGTACCATGTATCTTTGAGGACATATCGTACAGTGGATAACGGTAAATATGTAAATAGTGTACATAATACCTGATCTCAGAAATATAGACAGATACCGAACAACTTATGTTCAGAAATGATCACTAGTTTAAAACTAGATCAGATTTGGTAGAAATTAATTGATTGAATCATTCGTTTTCTACGGCTTATCAACCCATTACAACTTATTTAAAGCTAGAAGATAATTCTTACATTGTAATAATTTAGTTTTTGGAGATAATAATAGTTTGGGAATACAAGTTTGCGGAAAGAATCGGTGGAGTCATACCTTTCTAAATGGTATTTCATTACGTAACCAGAAGTTTCAGAATGGTTTCTTCACATTGCAAACTTGAATTTGATTCAACACTTGTCCGTATGAGACAGCCGAATAAAATTTTTAATATGAGCGAGACAGAAACATACAGGATGCAATGGGTATTTGCCATTTTATATTTTAATTTCACGCATGCGCGTTGTTTGTTTTTGATTTTGTCGACTGCACAGTATAGCAGGGCCAGTTGGGTACTGCCGGTGAGAAAAAGCGTACAATGATGCAATTCAATCCACCAGAAATTTGGAAACGGCATGCTGTACTGCTTGGCATTTGCGCCGGAACTCCAATAAAAACATTTCAGAGTGTTTCGGTGTCAATCTGAGATCAGCGCAGAGGATTCGGAAAGAGTTGGATGAGTCTAATGGTGATTATGAATGTGTTTGGAGTGTTTGGCGACGTTATGCCTCCATTCATCTTCACACAGGGCCACAGATCCAATACGGAGGTCTACATGAAGTGTTTTGAAGAGGTAATTCTGCTCTGGGTCAAGTGGGTGACTGCTAGAGGACCCTATGTTTAGTAAACAGGACTTTGCACCATGCCACATAATCAGGAGAATCCAGTCATGGCTCTCAGACAATTTATGTGACGACATCTGGCCACCTAACACCCCAGATTACACCCCCTTGGTTGTTATGTGTAGGGTGTAGTTGAGCGAGAGACTAACAAAACACATTGTAACACCAAAGATGAACTGAGGGCAAGGATTATGGTAGTATTCACCAACTTAAATAAGGGGACCATTCAGAAAAGTTGCAGGAGATTCCGAAGTCGCCTCGAGGCTGTTGTTAAAGCTAATATCGATTTTGTTGAATGAATTTATGTTTTAGTAATTCAAGATATTTTTGTGTAATTTTGATAAATATATTAGTTAAAATGAGATGTCAGTGTTAATTTTCATTTTTGCGTAATTTAGACGGCAATTTATCCATCGCACTCTGTATATAGAGAATAGGGTGATTTTGATTGATGGATGGATTCGTTTTCTACGGCCTGTCAAACCTTTTAAAGCCAGAAAATATTTTTAGATTTTAAGAATTTATTTTTTGAAAACAACGGTCTAGTGATATAATTTTTTACTAATTAACCCATAGCTGGGGGGAGAGAAGGTGGATTTATAACTTCCGCACCAGTATTTACGCATAAGTGAATATAATGAAACAACTGGAGTTGGAACTCGGCTCTCCGATTAATAACAACGAACTATCAAATATTACACCACCCGCGCATCCGAGACTATAGCACCTGGTATTCTCAAGCAGGAAATGAATTTAAATTAATGAGTGCCGTATATACTCTTGTATAATTTGACCCATGAATTTTTTGATGTATTTAAACACCTCCCGGAAAAGAATTACCTCCGTATAGCGCAACTGTGGAGGCACGGTGGGAGTAATGGATAGCGGCTCGGATTGAGGAATTGGAGAGCAGAGTTCGAATTCCAGCCGCATCTATTACATTCACTTACGCGCTAATACCCTTGGAAAAGGTATGAATCCTCGTCTTCTCCACACCCAGCTATGGGTAAATAGCAGGAGAGACCGGGTTCTATAGCCTTGGATGGCAACTGGTCTACCGCAGAAAGAAATAACGACCTACTGAGGGAAAAAATCGCTAAATTTTAATTTTAACACCCGAGCGCTAATATCCCTTCAAATTTGTCCTAAATAGTCTTGCTTCCGTGCAAATGTATATGCTGAACTCGAATCAACAATTAGATATTACAGAAACTTACCTTTTTGGATGTTAACGACCCGAAAAAAATCGGACATTTTCCTGGTCTTTCGTCAGCCATTACCGGCTTATTGATAAGTAATTAAGTGCTGAATTCTGTCGGTGAACGTATACAATTTGGGCCTATTTACTCCCTTGTAGTTAAATTTCAAATTAGGGTTAGGTGGGTTTTTTTTGGTTATTCATTTATTTTTTATTTTTTTTTAAGATGAAAGTTAACTTTCAAATTAGGGTTAGGCGTTTTTTTTTCTTTTGCTATTCTTTTATTTGTCGATGTTTACATATATTTGAAAGTTAACTTTATTCTTAAATTAAGTACAAAAAAATCGCTTTACGGAAGTGCGTACTAATTTATGAAAGAAAATAGTTCAGCAGTAAATGACGCTCGGGTGTTAAAATGAAAATTTACCAAAAAATCTGCCTCGTCAGTTATGTATCGAAAGATACATGATCGTCTAAGTGTGTATCACGTATGGCACATAACTGAATTAACTGATTAGAAAGCAACAGAAAAACACGCCACTGCCTTTCTAAAGCAGTCATAGCACAGATAATGAAGAAACTTTTTTGTATAGATCCATGACCGCCTAGTTGCTGGAAGGACTTGGGATCATACATTTTCCGGCTATAGGTTAAATAGCAGTGTAGACTGTTTTCTCTAGCCTTTGGTGGTAATCAATAGAAGAGAAGAACAGCTCAGAATTTCAAACCGTGTGTAAAGCAACGGGAAACCACTCCACTATGCCAGCTATAAACTACATAGTAGGGTAGAATGTTCTCTATAGCCTTGTGTGGCAACCAGTTTTAGTGAAATACAATTCAAAATTCAAGACTACATTAGAAAAGAAGCAACCATTTCCAAGGAGTCATAGCAATTCATAGATAATGAAGTAACAGAATTTATAGGGATCCATTACCGCCTAGGCCCTGAAAAGACATTGCATTATAAAAAATAAAATTCCCCAACTATATCTTAAATAGCCGGATTGACAGTTTTTTCTAGCCTTGGACACCAGATAGTATAACAAAAGCACCATTCTAAATAGAAAACCGTGTGTAAAGCAACGGGAAACCACTCCACTACCCCAGGTACATAGTAGGGTAGAATGTTCTCTATAGCCTTGCGTGGTAATCAATCTAAGAGAATGACGATTCAAAATTCAAAACTGCATTAGAAAGCAACGGAATACCACTCCATTATCCTTCCCCAAAATTTTAAGAGAACTGGTCTACCGCAGAAAGAAAATCCCTCCTCGTCAGTCATGTATCGAAGGATACATGATCGTCTAAGCGTGTGTCACGCACGGCACATAACTGACTGATAGTGCAACTGGTCATAGAAAATGCAACATTTTAACCTCTTCAAAAAATTACCTGTGTACAATGCGATCCCTTATTTTTTGCGTAAGAAACAGTTCATAAAAACTCGCATTATACTTGAGTATATATGATTTAGTTTGATTTTATTATTAGATACAGTCAAAATCTGTTCCTTAACTTAGCAGTAAAGTCTTCTTCTATATGACATATCCTTTCAGGAAGTTCCACAATTTTCTCTCCTTTGTCGTTCTGAATAAATATCCTCCGTAAAAGTCCAAACTGTTCAAACACTGATTGAACCAATCCTGCTGTATGGATCAGAAACTTGGACATTGTCTGCTTGTCTTAAAAGACGACTGGATGGAACCTATACAAATCGGTTGGAGATCCCATACAACGCTTAACACAATCTATGGAGAACTGTGAGCAATCTCTCTTAACACAAAAGATTACAGTTTGCCAGCCACTGCCGCCGAGGGAAGACATCGCATCCTTACTCCCATGG